AAAATAGTGATTTTCCTGGATCTGATGAAGTCACCAAGGGTACAAGTGAAATATAACATATTTTTAACAAAAACTGAGTAGTTCTTATTTATCAGAAATTCACAGGGCCAAAAATGAACCAATGAGAACTTTCTTCTTTGTTACCCACAGTCTGTGATTTAAAAAAAAACTTAATAGACACTGGGACAAAGGTTGATACAAATAAAAAATATGTACAGTCAAATACATTTCTTCAAAATTGGAGTTCTTACTTTATAAAAATCAAATATATAATTAAACTATTTAATCACAGGAATGAAAATTGAATTCAATCAACACTTTTCTATTTTTTTTTTTAACATGGTAATATATGTAACCCCCTTTATGTACACCTTGTTATGTACATGTATTATTTGCTTGTTCATGTTCAACTGATGAAGTAACAATGACACATAAATAGATTTTCTAGGTTAATATATTTTAACTACATGTAACATCTCATTTGAAATGAGTAAAAACACTTTCTATTCATATGACTATGTTTATGTAGTTGGGATTAATTAAAATTGTATATCTCTCACGTATCAACCATGTACAGAGGAACGGGGGACATTCGGATGAGGAAAAAAAGACTATCATTTTAGGGATTTCACAAATCATTTAGCACTCTTAAATGGATAACATGAAGGATATTTACAAACAATAGGAACTTGCTGCTATGATTTATTTCATTTCTTTGTGGTTTTAAATAAAAAACCAGCAAAACCAGAAAATGTCTGTTTCTCAGTAAGAGGACGGACAATGAATTAGGCCCCCTATGCAATTTTGATTCAACAAGCGAGCAAGTTATTAATTTTATGGCTTCACACCAAATTTTACTCCCATTTTGTGAGTGGGTTAGCATTAATTTGAACCGCTTTTATAGGCCTCTTTAGAAGTAGAAAGATCGAGTTATCAACTTGTGCCCTTTTGGACTTAGAAAAATTCCTATTTGGAGGAAGGGCGCATAAGTGTTTTACAAACAGCTCTTGTTAAACTGGAACTACTTGTGTGGTCAGTGAACTAGGGGGAAAATTAGTAGACTGTAACCACCTACCCCTACCGATTTTTTCTCTGTTTACTCTATTCAAATTTATGGGAAAATCTCTCTTAAAAAAATATGAAAGCAGTCTACAATCCAGTTTGACAATAGAATATTCCATGTATTTGTAATGTAGCAAAACACACACAGGCAATAACTTGTACTCAGTCCATTTACTACAAACAATCCAGAGAGTTCTGAATGTATACGGCCAAAAAAAAATAATAGTCTTGTTTCCTGCTACCAGTCAGAAAAAAATAGGGTAGGAGGGCAATTATTTTATTTTATTGTATTTTTTCGAACAGTACTTTTTGGATATATGAACTACTACAAAACCAATTGAACATGTCATAGCTTATATAGCTAAGGTTAATATCATCTTTCCAAGTGAAATTCCATGTCTCAAGTGGAATTTTATGAAAGTCCATATTTTAAACATATATTTCATGAAATACAACTTGAGAATATATAATTTTTTCACTTTTGAAACATAACATTTCTAAAATTTACAATTTTTTCCCCAAAAGATAAAAAAAACTTCAGGGTTGGGTGCAAAAAATAGGGTAGGATGGGTAGCAGGAAACAGGACTATTTTTAATTTTGGCCTAACTTAGACCTCCATTTTAACTCTTGTTAATTCAGGTCTATCAAAAACTATTATGATAACTGTTTTGACATATTTTATGTCTCAAGAAAAACTACAATTGACATTTTTTTTTTAATAAATGGAATCAGCTGATTGATAAAAATAAAATTGCAGTTTTGCAACTTGGCAGGAAAAAAAAATCCTGCCCAGGAGTAATTTGAATCTGTCAGTCGGGTTACAGGAAACAAACATAATTTTTATTTAGGCCTCAAATACTTAGAAACTTCTCATAATTGAGTGAAATTTGTTTACTTTTCTAGAATATTGCTTAAGCACAATTTAAATTATAGATATATTTCAAATATTTTATACTTACAAAACTAATTGGTATTATGTTGACATTTAAAACAGTTTTCATGTATTTCTAAGTAAAGCACTACATGTAGTTTCTACACTAAACGTAAAGTTATTTATAGTACCAACTTTTCTTTTAGGAGTCCAGTTTGTCTTGCAAAAGTGGACAAATCAATCAGTACAAGAAAGCCAGGTTTATATGACCTTAAAGTTACGTCAGCCACTAGAATATCTGTTGCTTCCCGTCAACTGGATTTTAGATACGAGCAACCAGAGAACAAAATTCTAACCATTGTCGAAATAAAGGCCTTGCAAGCTTTTCAGAAGGTAAATTTCACAAATTAACTCATTATTTTAATCAAAAGTTAACATTGTAATCAAAAGTTGACTTGAAATGAGGTAAAGATAAATATTTATATATGAAGATGAAAAAAAAATTTTTCAACCAATTTAAAAAAACCATGATGCATGTTCAATCTTGGGCACAACCATTGTGATTCATGTCATTTAAGAAAATTTGTATTGCCCTAGTCATAATTATAAAAAGTGAATAATTGGGAAAATAAATCAATTATTTTAAAATACAATTTGGCATAGGATTATTAAACTTTGTTAGCTGATCAATCTTGTAAAAAAGAAGTGTCACACATGAAAAGTACGTTGCTCTTACCTTTACTTAGAAAATTATACCCAAATATTTTTTTTTTTTTTTTTTATTATCCCATCATATATTAAATTACAATGCTTAGTGCCAGGGTTGGGGCCCTGGATTCACTATGCTTACATGGTTACAACACAAGCTTATCTTATGATAGGACAATTTTTTTTTTTTGTTAATCCATTCACTCATCATTCACCACAACGGCATGCATATGTCTATATCAGTATCTAGCAAAGATATTGTAAATAGAAAAAATACACATCTGAAAACTGCAGTTCTGTTATCGCATTCCATCGTTTTTTGAAGCTGTCCATATCTCCATTTTTCTTATAAATATATTTCTCACAATTATAGTAGTATACAATTTCTTGTTTGACTCTCTCAAAAGATAATTTATTTTTCCTTAGTTTGGTTCTATAGATATACTTTTTAATTATACAAATTACTAGATTAAATATATTGTTATATTTGTAATATTTTCCCAACAGAACATCGACCTTATTTAGATTTATATCAAGTCCAAACTTTTCTAACATCCAATTCAAAACGTTTTCCCAAATTTCTATAACAAACTCACATTCCCAAAATAGGTGGCACAATGTCTCTGGATGCGTTTTACAAAAGCTACATAAGTGCGAGTCAGTAACACCAATTTTGTATAAAAATGTATTTGTGGCTAAAATTCTATGTACAATTCTATAGTGGAACCATCTAAGCTGTATATCATTTGTTACATTAAAGAACAAAATATTTTGTTTTTTCCACCAAAACTCATCAACATTTAAATCCAAAATATTCTCCCATTTAATTTCACTCTTTGGCTTTTTGTATTTCTGACTAACAAGAATATCATAGAAATCTTTTGCACCTTTCTTGCTTTTTATAATTACTTGTAGGAATTTTGGGAAAAAAGGTTGGTTTCTTTGAATTGTCATTTGATCATAATTCAACTGTAATTTTTTTTATACAACTCAGTATTCCAAAAAACATGGTAAATGGTACTTTTAAATCATATAACTTACAAAATTCTTGATAATCCAACAAGGTACCATTTGTATCATAAAAATCAAAAATAAATTGTATGCCTTTTCTCAGCCATGACTTATAACAAATACTTTTTTTGTTAATACATATAGATTGGTTATACCATATAGGACATAAAACAGATATTTGATCATCAGTACTTAACCTTAACTCTAACAATGCTGAAAAAACATCTTTCCAAAAAACATTTTTTGTATCTTTCTTAAGTTTTTTTAAAAAATCACTCCCATATATATTCAAGTATTTAAGATCTGGATTTAAATCCTTTAGTAATTCTTTCCAGGCTGATATACAATAACCATCAAGTAGCCTGCGAATCCATGTGATTTTTAAGCTTTTACAAAAGGAATCAAGACATGTCATTCTCATACCACCATTTTTAAAACTTTGACTTATGGTATTTTTCGCCACCCTAGCTGTTTTAAAATTCCAAATATAATTAAAGAATATATCTTCAATCTCCTTTAGTTTTTCTTTAGATGGGCTAGGTAAGGTAATCAATAGGTGACTGAATTTAGGTAAAAGCAAGGTTTTTACAACAGTAATACGACCAGCCGTTGATAAGCATCTTCTAGACCATGATGCTACAAGTTTTTTGACAGTGTCAATCTTTGGAAAAAAATTCAAAGCAAACATAGCATCTAGATCTAAATCTACACAGTATGTTATACCTAGCACTGTAAATGGCTCTTGTGACCACATTAAGTTTGGATATTTATCACATAAGTTGTCATCATTATGAACAGTTGACCCAATCTTAATACATTGTGTTTTATCATAATTTGGTTTCAATCCAGAGAATTTGGAGTACTGATTAACTAAGGATAAGGTTGATTTGATAGATTCCTCTGAGCCATCCATCAATAAAACTGTATCATCAGCATATTGTAATAGTTTATATTCCTTATCTTCAATAACAATGCCCTTTATCAATTTATTATTTCTAATCATAATTCCCATTATTTCTGCACATAGTAAAAACAAATATGGTGAAATAGGATCGCCTTGCCTACAACCTCGTCCCATTTGGAAAAAATTTGAAAAAAAACCATTTTGGATAACGCATAACTTCGGCTCATTAAGTAAAATCTTTATCCATTTTAAAAAATTTTCACCAAAATTAAAGAATCTGAGTACTTTGTAAATGAATCTCCAAGATATAGAATCGAATGCTTTTTCAAAATCAATTAAGAGGATCTGACCTGGGTGAGCATTTTCTTTACAATAGTGAATAACATCATATAATAGCCTTGAGTTTTCACCAATATATCTACCAGCAAGAAACCCTTTTTGATTTTCATGTATTATTTTTGACAGGGTTAGTTTTATTCGGTTTGCTAAAACACTAGATAGAAGTTTATATGTAATGTTCAGTAATGTAATTGGTCTCCAATTTTTTAAGTGTTCCCTTGACTTGTTGCCTTTAGGGAGAATAGAAATTATTCCAAGTGTCTGCGTATAGGACAGCTGACCTGCTTTGTAACTATAATTAAAGGATTTAAGGATATATGAATTAATATCTGTCCAAAAAAACTTGAAAAATTCTGCTGTAAAACCATCGGTCCCAGGCGTTTTGTCATTTTTAAAGTTTTTAAGAGCTTGAAATACTTCCTGTATTGTAATTTCCACATCTATAGAACTTTTTATATCATTATTAATTTTGGGAACATCATACTTTTGAAGTAAATCCTCAAGATTAACATCATCTAGCTCATGATCTTTATTTTCATATAGTTTTTTATAAAATTTTCTTACTTCTTCCAAGATCTCTTGTTGTTTGTTTACATATTTACCATCATCATTGATTAAATTGTTGATATTCTTATTGACATAATTTCTTTTTTCAGGGCACAAAAATATTTAGTAGGTTTCTCTCCATCTTCTATCCATTTACAATGACTTCTTAGTAAAAGCCCTTTTAATTCATATTTTCTAATCTCCTCTAAATCTGTCTCAAGATCATTTATCATATCTAGATAAATTGACAAATGGTTTTTTGCATACATATCATGTAAAATTTTTAATTGATTTTCAATTTTCAATTTGTGATCTTTCCTTTCTCTAGTTAGTTTTGCAGACATTTGTATTGCCATTTCCCTTATTTTCATCAGTAGTACATCAAGAAAAAGATTTTCTGAAATTTCTAAGGTTGATTCATCAATACGGTATTCATCATCTGTTTCTTTGATAATTTTTTTAACATTTTGTACAAATTCTTTGTTTCTCAATAAGGAGTTGTTAAAGCGCCAGAATCCTTTTCCACGTTTAAACTCATTAATAGTGATATCTAATTCAATGATAGAGTGATCAGTCCTATAGCCTGGCTTTATATTAACGTCACTTACAATTGATAAGAGTTCCTCTGACACTAAAAAGTAGTCAAGTCTAGCCTGTTTAACTGGGTTCTTTCTACTCCATGTATATTTTTTTTCATCTGGGTTTTTAATCCTCCAAGGATCTACTAAGTTAAATTTAGTTTTTAACTTTTCAATTTCAAGTTTGTTCTTTGGATTATTTTCCCTAACATAGTTATAACAGTCTAACTGGTAATCCTGTACTACATTCCAGTCCCCACACATGATTATAAAGTCAGTGTCAAATAGCTCTTCCACTTTATCACTAATTTCTGAATAAAATTTAGGATTATCTTTGTTTAGACCATATATATTTACCAAGGTGATTGAGTATTTGTTATCCACCATTATATTTGATATGATAAAATTTCCTTCACTGTCACTATAAACTTTAGAAATTTTAATTTCATTTTTGTTATTAAAAAGCGTTAAAGTCCCCCTTGCATCTGATTTTCCTGAGCTGATAAGTATGTCATTTCCCCATTGAGCATAAACTGATTTTTTCTCTGATTCTGTACAATGGGTGTCTTGTAAACAATATATAGATGATTTTAAATTTCTTAAATAGTTAAATACATCTTTTCTTTTGCGGAATCATGTAAGCCTCTGCAGTTTACAGAAGTAATATTGAACTTAGTCATAATACATCTATATTGTTAAGTTGAAAAAAGATAAAAACATATACATGCTGCATACTCTCATTTCTTTCACACATAAATCAAAAATGAAAAATACTTCCTGTATGGTAATAGAACAGTTACAGAGGGAAAAAAAAATGTTGTAGACTGCATTGGGTCTTATCTTATCAATTAAACTTGGTCACATTATCAAAAACAGATTGTGAGCCATTTGATTACATCAAGTTTTCATTTGTTTAAAAAAGTATTGTACATCTTTCTTTCTATACCTTTAAATTATATTTGTTTTTGTACGAGTATAAACTAAACAAGTAAGCACTTGAAAGCACTTTAAAGGTTATAACATTCAAACACCTTCACCATAAGTCCAATAACGTTAATCTGCAGAAGAGAAAAAACTTCTTAAAACTACTCCGGATCACAGAATTTAATCCATTCTTTTTCGTCTTTTCTTCTATATTCGAGAATGACGTCATCTTTGACTTCCCGGATCCTCGTCTTCATTCCATCTTTCCTTAGCTCGTATGCTTTCTGTGCCAATTTCCCTCTCTTCTTCTTCAGGTGACCCGGCAAATCCGTCCTTACTGCATACCCTTGTGGTAAGGTAGCGTTCTTGGCGTGGATCAATAT